TAAGGGCAGCATCATCCATACAAGTGGTGGTGGTGGAGGTGCGTGCAGGACGATGGGATGCACCCCATCATGTGCAGGGTGCTGAGCGTACAATGCTGGCTTTTGGTTATTGTTTGTTTGTTTGTTTTTTTCCCTGGATGCGAAGGGAAATGTACAAGAGGTGCCCTTGGGACAGCAGCAGCTTGGCGGTGGGATGCTGTGCTGCGGGCTGGGGCCGTTTCAGTGCTGGTTCCGAGGTGCAGGCCCGGTCTCCAGCTCTGAGCCAGCTGCCGGGTGATGCTGTCCCTCCAGCTGTGATCGGGACCGATAGGAGCAGCTCCCGTCAGGAGGGAGGCGCCGGGCCGCGCCCCGCCCAGGGCCGCGGAGCTGAGGCGCTGATCAGTGCGGGGCGGGGCCGGCCGTGCGCAGGATGTCCTTCAAGGTGAGCCGGGCGCGGGGACGGAGGGACGGATGCGTTTCACGATGTTTGCCTTCTCGTATCTTTAGATTTGTGGACTTGTTTTTTATTTATTTTAGCAAAACGGCGGTGTCTGTGAGCCCTGCCCGGGTTGTAGGGTGCCCCAAGAGCGCTGCGGTAGCCACTGATGGAGCCGGCGCTTTCCGCAGCTGCCATCCCGAGAAGGATGCGTGTTTAGCGTTACATAAACCGCTCGCTTAGGGTCTGTGCCGCAGGTTTGGTGCGGTCGGAGCTTCCCTCTGACTTTTCAGATCTGTTGTGTAATAGTTGGGAGCGGCATTTGGCCGTGGCTCTGCGTCCCAGGCTGCGGTGGCCACTGATGATTCCCTGAGATTCCCGTTGCTCTGCGTGCTTCCTCCAAAGCCATGCAAAAGCAGCCGTATTCAAAAGGTCGCCCAGAATAAGTTTTAAAATCCGAGGACAGGATTAGTAAAATCAATTGGCAAAGAGCTCAGTGAGCAGTGATAACCGCTGGTAACAGAGAACATTTATGCTACATGCACATCTTCTTCTCAATTCTGCACTGCCTGGATGCTGCGTTTGCTCTTCTCTTATTGATCAGCAGCTCCGTGCCAGCCCTTGGCTGTGTTGGTTGTGCTGCATTGCTTTCCCCCTCACTGAGCCTCCCTCCCACCTGTCACTGTATCATTCCTATGCTGGGGCTGCTCGAGACCACAGGTGGGTCCCACCTGCAGCTGAAACCCACATATGGGGGAGCTTGGCATCTGCATTGCTGAAATCTCAGTGTTCGCCCCAGTTTTGGTCCTTCATTGGCTCCATACTTCTTCAGCCTCTTTTGTCCCTCTGCTCTGTCTCCATGAGTTGTTCCCACCTTCATTTCACATCAGAACCCACCTTTGTATGCTCTGTCCATCCCTACCTGCTCCTTTCTGTGCCCTATTGCCCACTTTCTGTCTCCTGCTGCTGAAGGTGGCTTATTGCCTGTTCCCTTTCCATCTGGAGAGTTGCAGCCCCCTCCTTTCTCCCTCTTTTCTGTCTTTTTACTTGGTCTATTCTCTTTTTCTCAGAAGTCTGTATGCTTACATAGGAGTCAAACACATCTCCAATTGCTGCTGTCTATTCATGTTTTCTGTCTTATCCTTCTTACTCACAAGTCAAAATTCCTTTCTCATTGCCTATACACACCAACATCCTCTCTTCTACCACATTCTCTGTGCTTTTGCCTGCCTAAGCTTAATGTCTATATCTTCAACTACTTTCCTCTTTACTCATGACTCTTTGTATAGGATGCATTAATATCTAATAAAGATCCCTGTCTTTCCTCTTAAGTTCCATTAGCATTTCCCGTTATGTCATAATTGATTCTGATTTCCAGTTATTTTTCTTAAAACTTTTTGCTCAGCTCTTCCTTTCTATCTGGACTGGTTTGGAAACTGAATATGAAAATGGTATTTTCTTGTATTTTGACAGTAGGATGAACCAGTCCTTGAGTAGAGTTCTCTTTCTCCTCTCCTTTGTCTCTTTCTTTTCTTTCATCTCTAAACTCATTGCTTAAGAACTACACTCTTCCTCCATAGCTGTTACCTCCCCTACTGTGAGCTGCTGCTTCTTTGCAAACAGCAAGGCAATGGTAGGGCAGGGAGTGGGAGCCAGTGGCCACAGAATTGAAATCATCATACAAACAATCAAAACAAGTAGCACAGCCAGGGTTTGCAGTGATGCTTTAGAGACCTTCATGAAATAAAGGAAATTGCATCCTGAGAGTTGCTGATGCTGGAGGAAATGACATAACAAAATATGCCAATTTTCACCAAAACTATCAGCTAATCTCTTTTTTAGATTTTTATGACGTTCTCTTCCATGACTGTCAATGCTCAGGATCAGCTGTTTTCTTTAAAAAGTTCTTTGGAGCAGACTAGCTCTGTAGTAAGACTTTCATCAACATTTTAAACAGTTAATCTCTTGAAATTCAACATTACTTCTCCTTAAGTATCTGATATGACAAGACTGAATTCTTAACTGGAGAACAGCAGTCTATGTCATATCATATCCGCTGGTTTAAAACCAGCTCATTGCTGACAAGTTATTCAGCTAATCAAATTATTAATCCCATGGTAATACTTCATATTGTGTCTTCTAGTGATGTCAGCATTGCTACCAGCAACTGAAAATAAAGAGCACACAGTCATAAATCCTTGGTTTGAAGGCAGAAGAAAAATGCATAACACTTCTTGTGGACGTCTCTTTCAAGTCCCCAAGTTGCTCAAATAATTTTGCAAATTCTTTTCATTTCAGTATATAGAATAGATAGAATAGCTCAGATTTATTTGCTTTTTCTATCTAATCACTACATAGCTGATAGACTTTCTGAGTGTGCTGTATATACAGCTTTTGCGTAAGGAATCCCCAGCACTGTGAAGGCATGAGGGAAGTACTGATAGCAGTCATTCCAAATTGGGTCAGAAGCACTACTGTGAAAAACCTGTTTTTGTGTCCTTGATGCTTTTGAGAGTTCTTCCATATCTTCTATCTGGTACAAAGTATAAGAATGCATTTGCTGGAGGACTATTCTAGGGATTTCAGAAGTAATAAAGAGGTGGGGATTTATGATTTGTCGGGTTGAAAACTTTGGATGTCTGGTTTCAGACTAGGTTAATTCTAGCAACTTGGTTCTCTTCTTTCCTCATGTAAGCTAATGAAAACAGGTGAAGAGCTCCTGAATAGTCACTCCTGATCTATAGAAGTATTGCATAATAAAACAAAATCACATTGCTGCTGTGCCCTTTTATGGACAACCAGGTTGGATAAAATAAATCTTTCTATGAATATATTGTCATACCCTGCAATTTTCCAAAACTTTAAGAGATGGAGTTAGGCAATAAAATTTAATTTCCCATTCTGTAAGATAAAAAGATCATTCTTTTGCAATAGTTTTCCATGTAATATAATAATAAAGACTATATTTCTGACTATGATCTTTATAAATGAACATCTGCCTAATAAAGTAGAACAAAAGGATAACATGGACCACTGTGTGCTTAGGTCACCTGTCTGTTTTTACATAAAATTTTATTGGTTGCAAGGGGAAAGGTGGACAAACTGCTTCCTGACCAGTTGCCAGCAAGGAGGGTATAGAATGCAAGCTCTCTTTTAATCAATACTATTAGCAGTTCACAAGAGGAAAAGCAGTTTATGAGCTGTAAAAGAAAGATAAGAATTTAGCCCATTGTTCCTTTTGTAATTTTCAGTCTCCTTCTCCTTCGTGTGTGGGTATGATAAATATTGCTAATAATTTATAGGAATGACCTTAACATTTATTGAATGGATGAAATTTAAGAGCTCTTGTCTCGCACAGCAGCCTGTTTAACAATCTGGTAATGCCTCTGAGTATTAAAAAGGCAACCAACTAGAAATGCTCGGTGTGACTGATCTATAATAGGTTCACAAATAATTGATCTTGTGTCTGCTGGTATCAACCAGAAAAATTATTCAGTTCTGGTTGTCTACCTCATTATTCTTGTGCATTAACATTAAGATATGGAAAAATATGTGTCAAATATTTTGTAGCAGAATGATTGACTTTTACCTCCACTCTGCTCTCTTTGGGTTATCTTGGGGGCAGAATTCACTGGAGAGTAAGGTACTTAATTATATTGACACTCTTTTGTCTGAGATTACTATCAGTAAAATGACACTTTCCAGACTGTTAGTGATATTGGGCCTTTATGCCTCCATAAAAACGAGAGGCATGAGCCTGCTCTGGGATATATGTACTGCTGCCACCACCTCAGATGAGCTTTCGTTCATCTGAGCACTACAGCCACTACATCGCTTATCCATCAGGCCGATGTTTTGGCAGCTGCCCAGATGGATAAGACTGGAAAGTTGGAAGCAAAATCTATGCCTTTTTTTGCTGTCCTTCTGTGCTGGGGAGGTAATAATTTACTCATACAAAGGAGAAGCCACTTTGTGGCATTGTTTGTAGGACTGAGAAAGCTACCAGCGTGTCTAACACTGGTCCATGATATCAAGATTTCACAGTTTTCCAATTTTACCTTATATTTTTGTCTTGCTTGTATAGTAAATGAATTCATAACTCTGTAGACAGCAAGAATCTAGCCTTCATTTTCTAGCACCATCCAGCAGATATATCTTAAGCCCACAGCTACAGAGTGTTAATTCTGGGAAGAGACAAACCTAATAGTATTGAAGATACATGAACAATACTTTTCATATATTGGGATTTTATATGCAGAAAGGAAAGAGGTAGCAGAAGGCTGAAATGCAGGAAGATGTCCTGCAGCAGGACATGATTCACCCTCTATAACTGTGGCTAGCCCCGCCTCAGAAGGAGACCATCCAATTCATTGTTTTCTGTGATGTTTCCCTGGGGATCTGGACTAGCATCATCAGCTCTAAGTGCAGAGCAGGCTAGAAGTCATGCTGCTATGGACACAGGGAAGACATGAAACAGCATGAGGCAGCACAGAGAGACTAATTTCTTTAGCTGCACAAAGAAATCAAGTTAGCTTTCTTCCTATGCTCTAGTGTAAAAGATCAGCACACTGTCAACACATAGTTGTGTTTGTCCAATGCATCTTACAAAATCTTTTTTGTTTCTGCTTTTTATTTTCACCAGAAAGAAACACCACTCGCCAATGCTGCATTTTGGGCTGCAAGAAAAGGAAACCTGGCTCTTCTCCAGCTGCTGCTGAACAGTGGGCGAGTAGATGTAGACTGCAAAGACAGTGTATGCACACAGTGCACATATAACCACAGCACTGATTTTATATTGCTTTCTGTAGCCTGCTGCACAGAAGGTGTGGCAGGGATCTGACTTCAGACACTGAGAGTCTTTTGACACTTGGACATGATTTAAAACCCTTTCTTGTCAGGAAGCAAGTTTGAAACTCAAGATAAAATATCATGATGATTTACATCAGTAGCAAAGGGTTAGGAATTTGCCAGCACTGAAAAATGTGTCTTACATAGTTATTTGTGGCACTGACATTAAAAACACAGATTCTAGCACCTCAGGCTTCTCTTTGCAAGGAAATATCACTGTGGCAATAGATCACTCTGAAGAGTCAACTCAACCAAGCCCTATCAGCAATGATTCTGTCAGCTAAAAGAACTCCTCATAATTAGCTTTTTAAAAAATAACCCTGGACCACAGTTTCCATTTAAGCAACATAAAAGTCACTTCTGATGTGCGGCAGTTCCCACCTCACATGCATGTGGTGAGCTAGACACAACCTGTGGTAGTGACAGAAGAACTGTTGGCCTCCTAACTTCTTCCTCCTACCGCAGTATCCCCTACACTGACACCAAAATGAAGAGACAGCAGGACTTCCCAGCATAGAGAAGCACAGATACATGACTTGTTTACATGTTTATGACTTTTTACATGGGTTGTTGATGATAGGACAAAGGGGAATGGTTTTAAACTAAGACAGGAGTGGTTTAGGCTAGGTATTAGGTGGAAGTTTAGGTTAGATATTAGGAGGAAGATTTCACACAGAGGGTAGTGACACACTGGAACAGGTTGCCCAAGGAGGTTGTGGATGCCCCATCCCTGGAGGCATTCAAGGCCAGGCTGGATGTGGCTCTGGGCAGCTTGATCTGGTGGTTGGCAACCCTGCACATAGCGGGGGGGTTGAAAGTAGATGATCATTGTGGTCCTTTTTAACCCAGGCCATTCTGTGATTCTATGATTCTACGACTTCAGATTTAGAGGGGTTTTCCTTACTGTAATTAGAGGAGTTGAAACTAGTTTTGAGATTTAAAATGGGTTGAAAATAGAGATAATGTGCATATCTTTAGCATATGGACAGTTACTTGATTATGCAAAGCTACTGCAAAAAGCCAGGGAAAATAAAGATTGAGAAGTCCCAGTTTTTTCTGTGATTGGTGATGAGACTGACTTACAGGGAGTCATGCCTGTAAATCTAGCCTTAATGTGAACTTCTAACCAGTAACATGAACCTGTCACATCTTCTCTTACTTTGAATGCAGTCAAAGTGCAAAGATTTTCTAAGCTCATTGGCTTTAAGCTATTTTTTATTCATCTTTATTTCATTTTTACCCTGTAGGCAATTACTTGTCATGCAATACTTCTGAAGATGATCCTTGTCATTCTGACGAGGCAAGAAAGGATGCATGAAGTAAACAGGACAGAAATAGACATAAAGAAAGAAGTTCTGCTACTGCTCAGTTTTTCTCAACATAAGACGAACTGACCAAGAATTTTTACAATGCAATACAAAATATCCCGGCATCTTATCAGACATACACATTTTCTAGGCTAAAATATTACTAAAATATTTTAATATGGTTAAGGCTGTATGCTGCTTTTTTGCAACATCACACATTTTTTCTTTAGATTGAATTGGTACATATGAAGATTTTAGACTGATAGATTTTATACTTTCATGTGTGGTCTTTGCGTGTTGCCCAAACACCATATGCATGTAACATAAGTCTTATTTAGGTCAATGCAGCAGTGGACTTACTGGGGTACTGAAGAAACCTGAATGCATTGTTCTGGTCTGGAAAGTTCTCTGACTCATTGTGAAGAGTCACGGAGAGAGAAAGAATTTGCTATAGTCATTTGGATAGGGTATTAGTATTCAAGACACTTGGGTCGTAATGCTGACTATGACTCACAATTAAATAACTCATATAAGTCACTTGCCTCTTGTATCTAAGGTTATTCTTCTGGAAAGGATTTGAGATTTTCAGATAAAAGCAATGTATAAACCAAAAATATTACTGATATTTTTATTAAACTTGCTTCAGGACAGTAATATAAAGTCATTGTATAAATGTTCGTTGGATGATCGAGCTTTGCACTGCAGGCAAGTCCGTAATTTATTTGCTTTAACACCTGCTAGTTACTTATTTTCAAAGTATTCTTGATAGAAAGTTTTAAACTGTCTGAGAATCTGTTCAGTGAAAGACTGCTCCCCTTTTCTGGAAAAGAGTGAACAGGATCTCTGAGCACTGATCATAAACTTCCTTCAGCTGTTCAGAAGATATGCTGTCTCTTTCAGAAAGCTTGATTCATTGCTGGAGGTGTCTACTGAAAATACTGATCTGTTTTTCTTTATTCCCAGCTTGGCACAACAGCTCTGATGGTTGCGTCTTACTATGGTCACATAGACTGTGTACGGGAACTGGTGTTGCAAGGAGCAGATATCAACCTGCAGAGGGAGGTAGGAGAAGTTCTGCATTGAAACAGGGATTGATTAAGTGACTATTGATTTACTGCAAGTAATAAAAATATGTTGTCTGCTGCTTTTTGCCAATTGCAATTGCTGTGCAGTGTATGAACAGGGTCTGTTCTCCTAAGGACAGCAAGGAATCTGATGTCTGGAACTTGTAATAGAAAATGAGATGCCAAAGGTGTATTTATAAATAATTCATTAAACATTTCCAGCACGTGAGTTTGGTCTGGAGCAGTAATATCTCAGGTATAACCCTCAGGTTACATCACTTATGCATTTATTATGTTACTAATTGTCACAGTAATTTACAACATCCCAGACTGCATCAATGTAATTTGATGAGAAGTCCTTTACCTTATGATTTGCAGAATTTGGTCATTAACATGGAGTGTGGGTGCCCTTGCTAGCCCAGGTATTGTTTTGACTTGTTATACCCAGGAGTTCCTGCCTCTCATTCTGAGCCAACGCAAAATATCACATCACTTAATCACTCATACCCTATCCTGCCTGTCCGCTTTGCATTCAAGACATCTCTCACACCATGATGTGCTTGTTTGTATAAGGGAAAATATCAGCACTTAGTTTTGGGAAAGTGTCTTCCTCTCCTATTCTGCTCAAGTAATGGTAAGGGGTATCTACAACCATTCTGGCCTGCGTGATGACTACACAGAGAGCACAGTGCCCTGGAACAAAGAGAGCTGTACTTGTCCCGAAAGAATTGCATTTTGATGAGGACATGCAGTGACATGAGAAGATGGCAGGAAGAGCAAGACAGCAGTATTTTCATCACTTTAACAACCCAAGCAAATGTTTCTCATTTTCCTTTGTTACCTGAAACATGATCATTAATCTTGTGCTGATGACTTCAAGTCACTGAGTCAGTGAATGCTAAACTCGATGATGCCGTGTTTAATGTCTTTGTACTAACTGGCCTAAGCTTGCTTTAACTATGATTGCTAGTATCTTTCAGTGTATCCTGTCCTAACAAAATATGTATTTAAACATGTACTTTCTCTTAGATAAACACTGCTTGAAAAGCAGCAACAAATGTAAAAGTTGTGGACAGTTTTATGGACCTACTGTTGAGTATCACTCTGGACATATTGATTCAGCAAGCCAATAAAAATAGAAACACTGGAATTCTCCAGAATCACTCTGTTGCTGAGAGAAAGAAAATAGATTAAATTTAAGCCCTGCAGACCAAGGGCACTAATCTGAAAGTAAATCTACATACTCAAACCAGTGCTCTTATACCCCAAAATTGTTGTGAACCTCATGGAAAGGGGAGCCCCATAGATAAGCATGTGAGAGGGGGCTCTAAACTGGTCTTTATGGGTCATGTGCTATTATCACAAAAGTCTTTGGTGCTGGAGAATTTTATCTTTAGTTCCATTTTCCTGCACCTTTAGCATGTGATAAGAAAGCTCAAAATTAGGAAAGCATGCTTCTCTTTCCTCTTTTTAACTCTTCCCTTCTGTCCAGCCTTTAAAAGCTTCCAAAGTCATTTTTTTTCCTGATTTATTCAGGAAAATGTCAATGAAAGTATCAACTAGTATGCGCTTTCATTTCTCCATCAAGGCTAAGGGAAAGTAGGATCTACAGGGCTGGCTTGAAGGCTGCTTGAAGGCTGCTTAGCTGGATGAGAAGATATTCATCCAAAAGACAAGGGAGACTTACACCAAGAGAAATCATGTTTTGCTAGCGCACAGTCAAGCAAAGTGGAGCTCTGTTATGCTGAATAACCCCTGTTGTCTTTCCACACCTCGATCTAAGTTCATCCCGTGTTCCTGTTTATCTCGGATTGTAGGGAAAGGTGGTAGAGGGCCTGGTTTCAAATGGCTGTTTGTCTCTTGTGTGAGACTGCTATTTTCTTCTTATTTGGGCTTTCTTTCCTTGTCTAAAGACTGAAGAGAGGTAGATGAATCCTGAGAAGTTTATAAGAGAAACTCTGTGCAAAAGCATAACCTTATTGTTATTCTCCAAGCATAAACAAGATTGTTTAGCATGGAGAAGAGAGGGTTCCAAGGAGACCTTGTGTAGCATTCTAGCATTCCAGTATTTGAAGGGAGCATATAAACAAGAGGGGGAATGACTGTTTACAAGGGTGGATAGTGATAGAACAAGGGGGAATGGTTTTAAACTGAGATAGGGGAGGTTTGGTTAGATATTAGGAGGAAGTTTTTCACACAAAGGTTGGTGACGCACTGGAACAGGTTGCCCAAGGAGGCTGTGGATGCCCCATCCCTGGAGGCATTCAAGGCCAGGCTGGATGTGGCTCTGGGCAGCCTGGTCTGCTGGTTGGCGACCCTGCACACAGCAGGAAGTTGAAACTAAATGATCATTGTGGTCCTTTTCAACCCAGGACATTCTATGATTCTATGATTCTATGATTCAATATGTGATGCTAACCAGTTATCTCAGTGCAATGAGAAGAAAACTGACCATTTACCTAACATACTTTGTTTCCTCTGGAGCCCTCAAAATCATTATATCTCTTCAGCTGTATTCAATTGATTGTGCTTAATATGTTTTAATCTGAAATGTGTACTTTGGTCAAGCATGTTATGTGTTTGTGGTTTTTATTAATCCATTTTTTTTTCTCTACAGTCAGGTGCAACTGCTCTGTTCTTTGCTGCACAGCAAGGTCACAATGATGTGGTGAAGTTTCTCTTTGAATTTGGAGCTTCCACTGAATTTAAGAATAAGGTGAGATGAAAGGTCTGGTTTTGAAGGCTGATATATTTTAACTGTCAAGGGTGTTGTTTCTTCTTTGTATGAAATGTAATCTAGCAGCAGCAAGATGATAAAAAAGATTTCCTCACTTGAACATTTTCTGAATAGTGTAAGTAGTACAATATATTTTGAAAATATTAACTTGTGAAAATATTTACTTACGCTACTTGGACTTAATGGCATAGTTTGGTCAAAGATCAGTCCACTGATGGTGAGATCAATCTTTCCTTCTTCTTCAACTTCTACAACACAAGAAGAAGGGATCTCTTTGTACATGTCAGGTAGGATCCTATTTTAGGTGTATATTTACTCCGCTTGCACATACAGAAATTTGATCCACGTTGGCAAGTCTTTGCATACCAGCGTAGGAGACATAAGAATAAAATGGCTGCAGTTCTCCCTAAATTACCATTTAGTCATCTGTGACAGGAAGATGAAATACTCCTTACAATGTCTATTTGTTGTTGTTGTTGTTCAGGCTGGCCCTTTTTCAAAATTTAAAATAACTGAAAGAACTTGGGTCTGGTTCATCATCTCTCACAGAATAAACAGCATTAAGAGCAGGTCTCTGTGCTGTGCTGGCCACAGTACATCAGCTCAGTTTCTTTTCTCAAGGCAGTACTGACACTTCTGCTTTCAGCAAGCAGAGCCAAAAGCACCAGATTTTCATGAAGCATTCTTGCCCTTGATGTGGTGGCCACATTTCAGAACACTGGGGCTGATGGAGCTGAAATTCTTCATTTCCATAATCTGGAGAGGACACAACCAGTCACTTAACTGTAACTACCAGTCACTTGGCACCTGTAGTGACATGTATTTGAAGAAAAATAGCTCTTTACTCAAAAACAACCATTTTTTCAAGCTGTTTTCATCATAGCTACCTCAACCCATATCTGCTTTTCAGAATACCTGAAAACATAGGCTTTAAATACAACGGGAATTGATGGAACATCACAGGGACTCAAGTCTTTAAGCTCTAGGAATTGTAGCAGATATTACTGATTAAAAATCTAAAGGTTTTTGTTGTCACAGGACTCATGCAGAACTTGGCCCAAAAGATGAACAGCAGGCTTGCAATTATCTGATCCTTCAAGACAATAATGTGATCTGCTTTGAGGCATGCAAAATAAATTTCTGAGTCACTGAGGCAGATAAAAAGGTGCAAAGATCCAAATGATGGGAAAATCTTTCTGCATTCAGTCCCTCCTGATTCCTCCCACTTTTGGATAAATGCAGTTCTGCTTGAGGCACCACTGATAACATATTGCACTGACAGTATGTATTTCCCATTGGTTTTTTGGATTGTTTTGGTGTTGGTGTTCAATTTCCTGATTTAATAGCGTGAATTTCATAGCTTGAAATTATTACATCAAATTTTCTTTCCATTAATGGGTTACTAAGATAACAGGCTTCTCTGTCCCACCCTCCAAACCCCAGACATGAAAAAACTGACAAAATATGCCTTTCTAAGTCAGAGATAAGGCATTTTCTGATTAAAGCACTCAGCTGGGAGCAGTACTGGAAAAGATGAGGATCCTGCCTGTTTTCAAAGGGTGTTCCAAAACTCATCAATTTATAAAAGACTTTCTATTATAAATGAAAAGGTGGAATTAAAATACGATCAGAGATTAAAGGTATCTTAGGAAATAGACACTTTAAAACAAGGCAATGCAAACCCCACTCTCTTCTTTGCAATGCAATTCCCTATAAATTTTAGTTACATTTGTTACTTATATGCAAGAGTTCAGGAGAACAAACTTAGTACAAGAATTCTTGTTAATGCTTTGTATCATTTGAGTTGACATTCACTATGACAGGCTGTCTAGTATCAACTGGTACAAATTTTTTTTCTGAGTGTCTGCTATGATGCCATGTTTTGGTTCTAGGAAAGAAACAATGTTGATAACACACCGATGTTTACAGTTTCTGCTAAGCAGTGCACAGAGCCAAGTCCATTCTCAGCAAAGGGCCCAAGGAGCTGTGAGGGAACAGGGCTAGAACAACAGGCTTAAACTGGCCAAAAGGAAACTCCATACCATACGATATCAAGCAGAAGGAGTTTTGAAGGGAGTGGGAGTGCATCTTGCACTCTTCTGCTGCATGGAAGGCTAGATAGGCATCGGGATGGGAGTGATGAGAAATTGCTTGTGCATCACTTTTTATATACATTCATATATATGTGTATGTAGTCATAAATATTATCCTTTTCCTTTTCTCTATCTTAGTAAATAGTTTTATCTCAACTGATGAGTTGTACTCATCTCTCCACAAACCCACTGAGAAGGGGCGAGTGAGCAAACAACTTTGTGGTGCTCGGTCACCTCCCAAGTTAAACCACAATACAGGCAAAGTGAACATCCCAGAAATAAGTATCAGAGATTTATTTTTTTTTCTTAATCTGTAACATGTTATGAGCATGTGTGTGGTTTCTGTGATGGCATATTTTCTGAGCGATGCTGCAGGTCACACAGTGTATTGGAGACTATTTTCCAGTAGGTAGTGACGTCAGAAAACCAATTTCCCTCCCTTGTAGTGTATTTCACAGAAAGTAAAACACCATGTACTTCTAAGGTACTTGCAAGCAACGACGATAGAGGTAAAGGAAGAGATAGGCAAATGGAGAGGTACATCCCAGATAGCATGTTCTTATCAGATGCTGTCCAAGTGCTTATGTGGGAGACTGGCAGCTAATGTATGCACTGCCAGTAGGGAGAACAAGGTAGGGATAAGATAAAACTATTTCAAGAAAAGAATGGCAGAGATAGCTGAGAGGACTGGCTCCTCTCTGAGTTCCCAGCTTGCTGGAAAGGTCTGCAGTGAAGGATTAGTGGAAGCTACGCTGTATCAAAACAACAGGGTATGAGCAGTAAATGGGCACAAGGCTGAGTGCCTTCTCTCTGTGCTATTGCCTATTAACCTCCTGCTACAGAGCAGTTATTGCCCTAGAAGTGCCTCCGTGATTGCTCACATGTCCCTGCTCCCACTTTCTGACCTGCTCGGAGTTTCCAAGAGGCTTGCCAGTACCAAAGATGTTGTTTCAGCATTTTGTTTCAGCCAAGGCCAAAAAAAATAAAGTGGGAATCACATGGCTGCAAGGGATTTTAAAACTCAGGCATTTGCTTCTTCTTCTTTTTTTTTTTTTTTACATCCTTCCATCTAATTTCCCTGTAGGCTATAAAACAGTGGGCTCTCCAGACAGAATTTTCTGGAGAAAAGGTTCTTGTGCTGGCCAAAGGGGAAGAAAATATAAGAGAAAGCAAGATGAAAGCTCAATAGGAGTTGGAGAATGATTTTTTTTTTTTTTTTCTACTAAAAAACGTGGAACTTTGTAGTGTTTTGTCAAACATTGTCAATTCCTTGATTTAACTGAATGTTGTCTTCCATAAGGTGCTTTCTGTGGAAAGGATTCCTGTCCACAGTTTCCTTTCTTGGAGCGAGACCTGTTGCTGTTTATCATAGCGATACTTCCACCTATGTGAAAGCTGGGACATCTCCAACATGGGGTCACACAGTTCTGCTCCAGATACATTGCTTATGCTCTGCTGTGCTGACTGTGGTTAGGCCTGCTCTTTGTTTGGGATCTGTCATTTGGTTGCCTCCAGAAATTATGTCAATAAGCAAACAATCTTCTTAAAATAACAGTTTGTGGAGAACACAAGGGTTTTAGAAAATGAAAAACAAGTCATAAGGCAATAAGCAGGCCATAAAGCAATAAACAAACTACTCCCACATGTATCTGAATGCGCCCATTTCCTTACAAATGGGGAGCCTCAATATTTTTAGGCTTCCCATAGGTCATCCTTCCCTGCATCTCTACAGAGGACGACCACTCTTGATAGCTCAGTTTTTCTTAGCTTATCAACATTTTTTCTCCCAGTTTCCTTCAGGGAAAGTTCTTTAAAATGTCCCCATTATTATTTTTTTTTCCATTTGAAGTCCTTTGATTTGGTAACTCAATACTCAAGCAAAATGGCTTTCAGCTGGTTGTAGATAGGAAATAGGTTTCATGAAGCTACTGGCTTTTGCTATTGTTTTTAAGTATGTAGAGGTAGGGTTTTTTTTGTGTGTGCATTTTTCTGTTGTTTTTTGTTGTTGTTATTGCTTCAATCCAGGAACTATTGTGGTTGCTTTCATGTTTTGTTCCAGCAGTTCCTCTTAATGTGACAGGAAATCTAGAGACTCGCTGTAGCTACAGAGCAACTTAACTCCACTGACCAGGTTGTCTGCTTATATTTACTTACATATCCCAGAATTAATATGCAATTCTTAAATTGTCACATAATGGTTTCACGTCTGCGATTTTGCTGACACCGATGCCTTGCTTGCTTTTTAATGTTGCATGGGGGAAAGGTAAGAGATTTTAAGAGTAGTTACAGACAGTCTCTGTGGATAATTTCAGCCATGTCAGACCTTGAGTTTTCAGGAGAGTTATAGGCATGAAATAGCACCATAGATAAATAAGTTTGATTGGCACATCCTATTATAAAAAAATCATTCAGCCATTTGGCTGTAATTTCTCTTGCTAGCTATCTGTCCATGTGGAAAGTTTCAGACAAGACTTTGGAACTGTTTCAGAGAACAAGGCTGAGGGAAAATACAATATTTTGCCCACGTTAATAACAGCTGTGGAAAGCCATTTGTTTGAAATACTTTAGATAGCTTGTTTTGTGGAGGAGCAGCTTGACACTGGGAGAAATCAAGGAAAGAGAGAGGAAATGTTTGGTATCAGCAATGTGGGGTGTGTGTCATCCTTGTGTGATAGCATGGTGCTGTCCCAGGCAGAAGATAAAGAACCTCTCCACACCAGTGTCAGAAATGATGGCAATTTTTGAGCACGTTCACCGAGATGTGGCAAGCCCTGCATTTGCTGTCACTGTAGTTTCAGTTGTCTTGGAGTTGTCAGCCAGCAACAATGAGGCATTTCCCAACTCAGATGGCTCCTGTGGTAGCTGTGCAAGCCAGACTTGATGAGTGCACCTAGGCCTACCTTTAGTGTAACTGCCACAGAAAAGTATTGGGGATATCACTGATGATTATGGATTTGATCTGATACAAGCCTCCACATTTAGCTAGAAAGCTTTTAGATGCATCCTCCCTATTTTCCTTCAGGCCAACAACCAGCAGGTGAAAGGCAGAACATGACAGGGAATGAAGTTCTGGTCAAAGAAGAGAAAATGATTGGTAGTTTCCGGAGCAGGTAAAGGATGTATTGTGAGCCAAATTCTGAAAAGCCTTAAAATTCGCTTATGCTTTATGGTGAAGTTCAGTCCAGCATCTTCTTTCTCAACCTTCTGTACCCTTTCTTCATTTTGTTCACAGGATGGAGGTACTGCTCTTCTAGCTGCTTGTCAGTATGGGCATGCAAAGGTAGTGGAAACTCTGTTGAAACACGGTGCCAACATTCACGATCAACTTTATGTGAGTTACTTGACAGATTATACTGATAATACTGTGGATGGAACAAATGTGCTGTTGGTTGTATAGCAGCAGATACTCTAGCTCCAGCACAGAGAATCATTTGCCAAACATTGTGGTTTCATAGTTCTCCACTGCTCTAAGTTGTGATTTTTGTTAACTGTCTGCTTAGTGTTATTTTGGGAAAAGTGGTACAAAAACAGAAAAGATGATTTAGCTTCCTTTCAGTTCATTGTCTCCATGAAGGCTGAGTTCCAAATCTGCATCAGATTTGTGATGTCCCTTACTATTGAACAAAAGCTCAAAATGTCGTTTTCTATCGCATCAGGTTTGCATTGCAGACAGAAGAGTGAATAACTATAAGCCCACTGAGGTATTTGAGAATCGGTTCATCAGTTTTCTGCCAAGAAGTGCAGAAATTTAAAACAGTTGTTTTGTGTTTTTTTTTTCTTAAATATCAGTTAAAATGATGTTATTTGGTATCTTTGCATCTCTAGTTTGTCAGTTCTTTTGGCAAAGTATGTTAAAATGACTGAACTGACAGTGTTTAGTTGGCTTTTCAGAAAGCTAGATTGAGCCAATGAAGTATTAATTTACTTCAACAGAGACTCAAATAAGTTGAGGTTTTCAGCATTCAACAGAAAGGAGTGGCAGGTTTTCTCTTCTCTTCCTGCCTCTCTCTCCTACTCCAGGGTAGAAGACAAGGCTGACAAAGAGCAATTTGTTCACTGTGAATATACAGAGCTTTTCAGCCATTTCCATGGGGTTTGCAGAATGCTGTCAGTCTGAGGGCTGGTGACCACGGAAGTCACCAAGATGCCAGGGCCCGTGCACTGGCTGCACAAGGAGTCCCCAGCTCTGTGAGGCCACCACCCCATATTTGTAAAGAAGGGTGCTCCGCTGTCACTGCTGTCAAGTAGCAACAACCTTTCTAACCTACAGGCAGTTTGTCATGCTGTTCTCGGTAATCCCAGGACTTTCCACCTGGTTAAAAATAGCAATACTATCACACCTGCAGATACTTCATGGGCAGTAAAATGACTTCTTTATTGCCTCTCCTAGAAATGAGCAATATTTGTATTCAGATTTAGAGATGTATTTTTATGACTTTCAGTCAGTAAGCAAAACCAGTCAGTAACAGCTGCCTCAAAAAATAAGAACACAATCTCTTAAAAATGAATGTTAACCTGGCTCCTTTTCTGGGACATTGCCAAGCAGCTTTCGTGCAGCAGTATCTGGCTGGCAGTTTCAATGGCAGGCAGCCAGAGGAGAAGGATTTTGAGCATGCTCTTGAGCAGTCCTCCCCCAAACGATCAAGATAGATGTTTTAATTTTAAGTTGAATAATGAGAGGAGTAGAGGAGAAGACGAGAATAACTAAACATCTTCCCATGCGGAAATATTTAATCGCCTCTAAACAGCTTTCTTGTTGCAGCATCTATTCAAATCAAGTACAGAAACCAAATAATTAATTTTAAAAAATGGTTGAATAATAGGCAAACCAAAGCTCTCTATCTTGGTTGATGCTATAATTAAGAGCTCATTTAATATTATACAGCCTTGTAAACTTTCTAAATGGATGTGTTCTTGCTATATGCGCCTCTGGAGGAAGCCTGCAAAGCACCCAATATCATCACCCTATCTCATGCATTTGCAAAGCAGCCAGAGAAAACAGCCTCCTAGAGGACCCAGGGGCAAATATTCATCTGCAGTATCAGCAGATATCTCTCTTCTTTACCAGGGTAGTTGTCATGAAATCAAGATCAAACTTTTTATCTCCAGTTCCTGGGCTCTCAATTCACCTCATGCTTCAGGCCTGAGTTTTATAGGAGGAGGACCTCAACAGTGTATGTAAGCAGACAACAGTATATGTAAGCAGCATTCATTCCAACCTGGTGATACGCCAACAAGGTTGAAAATGGGTTTCTGCCCAAATGCCCTGTATTTTGGAAAAATACATACAGGAGGTGCCTATAAGATATGCACCCGTACATTTGAGACATGGTGGGGTGTTCACTCATGGCTCTACTTAAACCAGAACATTCCACTTTCTGGAAAAACTTGTCCTACAATGCTCTGTGCAGAGTATTGTGGATATATGATGAATAAATATCTGTCCTACCCTCAATATGAATTTTGCCTTCTAGTTCTTTGGATGGGTTTCAATGTAGTTTGAACGTTTTACATTAAAAAAAAAAAAAATCTATATATAGATACATACATATTAAACTTTATACATTTTTTCTTATGGAAAAAGCTTATGTGAATCCAAGCATTGTGCATTTTCTAATGCTGACATCTCCATGTGAAAGACATGGTGAACAAAAATAAATCCGGAATTAGTTATTTTTTTCACAAGCCTTCTATAGGAAATGATGGCTTCTGATAGGCTGGGAGATACCCTGTCTTGCATGTGTTACTTTTACGTGCTCATCTTACAGAGTCAGTCTCTTCTGCAAGATGTGCCAGAGCAGCAGCATGGTAGTTGCTGGCATGGCATAGCAATATAGTACTGTACTCACTCATTCAGTCTAAAAGGCTTCAGTGCCAGAGTCTTCAGCTCTGCAAAGTACTCGGACATGTTTTCACCATGTGCATCTGTGTGACAGACCACTTCCATATAGGCACAGAAAACTAAGTGAACCTAAATAAATACATTTTGCTAAATACGAATGGATTTCTAGTTACAAAGACTGATACTTTGGTGATAAACAAGATGTTTGGTATTCCAGACCCAGGATTTAATGCTCAGTGTGATATACAATGGGAGTTGGTACTTGTGCATGCTGAAAGAAAATGTTACTATAGTGGTAATCATGAAATCATAGAATGGTTTGGTTTGGAAGTGACCTTTAAGATCATCTAGCTTCAACCCCCCTGCTGTAGGCAGGGACACCTCCCTCTAGACCAGGTTGCTCAAAGTCCCATCCAGTCTGGTTGAACAAGACTTGTGATTATAGTCATTGTTTCTTGAGCTTAGCTGTATATATGATGTTCCAGTGTATAATGGATTAAAAAGGAGAACATACTTGGTTTGGTTTTGTATAAAAAATGGTGTCATTTCAACACAGTGTAAGCTGCAGGTATTTGTTCTTAGGATGGAGCTTCTGCAATTTTCTTGGCAGCTCAAGGAGGCTACCTGGATGTCATCCGATTGCTGCTTTCTTCAGGAGCAAAAGTTAACCAGCCTCGGCAGGTAAGCTCCACCCTTCAAGGCAGAACTGGTGTCTAATCACTAAACTTTGCAGTTATTAACAGTTAACACTGGAATTTTTACTGGGCATTGGGTTCCCATGGTGGTCTTTCACTGGAAGGTAGAATGTGGCTGTGTGTGTATCTGTGTTTTAGTTCAGATTTGTAGCATGGATTTGAAACAAGCGCTCCAGTCATTTCTGCTTGCACACAGCTTAGGTTGTTTCTGTAAAAAGTGAAACTAGAAGCTGTGTTTTAGGTGTGCAACAATTGTGCTTCAAATCAAACGGGGATCAGATATCTGGTTATTCTTCTGGACAACTTTGAACCACATGCAGCTTGGGTATGCTTGGGCCATGAGACCAGACTGAATCAAAATAAAACTCTCAATTTGTATTTGATGATGATGTAAGTGCCTTGCACTACCTCCTGCTGCTGCTGTACCAAGTTACTTGTGAACGTGAACATGGTCCATCACATCCTCATTCTTTTGAAAATTTTGGAAACACTTGGAAAAGCTTGTGAGAAACAGCATTATATTTAGCGTACCTGGTTTTGAAAATATTTATCAGTATCAAATCTAATCTTTGACAAAGCCTTTCACATTTAGTTTTACTATGCATTCCCTGTGTGCACTTTGAAACTCAGGCTGGAGCATTAACCAACAGGGAGAGAGGCTGGCAGCTATGCCCTGCACTGATGTTCTTATTGCTCCTAGGCTGCCTCCACACTGTCTCCTTAGGTCAAGGTTATGTAGTGTTGTTGACTGTTTGTTAATGTAGTCTAAAAGGTCAATATGGAAAGATAGATCACTGTATGTTTTAATGCCTTTTGAGTGGGTTAAAACAAAGTTGGGGAGTCTTTGATTTACCTCAACCAGTTTAGTCTATGTCACCATAAAAACCACACTCTATGCCAACCACTGAAAAAAAATTGTAATTATAATGCTTCAACTAATTCTTTCTGACAGTACTTTTCAGCTCTCCAATACAATTTCTATAACACAGTGCTTTGTGATGCATTCTTAAATCTCAGTTGAGGCAGAGGCTCAGCTCCATGTGAATGTTTCTCCTGGCTATGTTTTGTCTCTGACAGCATGGGCTTAGTTTGCTTCAGGGTACCTCCGATCCCTGCTAAGATTATGGCTGGATAGGTCTGAGGCATTTGTGTTTAGGCCCACTGTAATCTGAAGGATTTCCTTAACAAATCAAATGTTTTTACTGTTTAATTAGTAAAGTAATGGTTGGATGGACTTCAGCCTCTTTCTTGCTGACAAATTTGTACTCTGTTCAAAGGTGACATGGTGGTCACCAGGAATGTAGGCCTAGATGGGGCATTTTGATGCCAAATGACTCTTACCATCAATTACAAACTGTGCTGCTCTTACTGCTGTAGGAAACCATTTGAAACTAGCTTCATGCTTCCCTTCCCTTCCTCATATGTCCATATTTTCCTCCCTATCTTGTGAATTTGAGGTCATAATTCATCTTCCTGACCATGTGCATGTTCACTGTATATGTATTCCTGCTTCTATATTGGGCCTTGTGCCCCACTTCCCAGTCCCTCAAGGTTTCTGTTGACACATGGGCACATCCATGGTGGCACTGGATGCCTTTGTGCAGGCCCTCTGGCTCAGCTCTTACAAGGCTGAATAGTGAAGCTTTCTGGAGAGTTTATTTCCTGGAAATGTCATTTCTCTTGATTTTTAGCTTACTTCTATTCTTCCTTACATTGTGATGGGGCCTCCATGGAGCTGGGCTGGAATTTTTTTTGTTTCCTTATTGTCTAGACAGAACTTGGGACAGTGACTTCAGAGTGATGTAGGCAATGTTTCTTTGCTTCTCTAACTCAAAAACAAAGCTAGAAGTCTATTTGCCAGTGAGTTTTACACTGTGTTTTGGCAGCCTGTGTCCCAGCAAGCTTTAGTTTGACTGGCTGAGTAGATTCAAAATACTCTGAAAATTAATATTTTTACACATGCAATGTAATCACGTATATGTAAGCCACTAAAACCACACTGAGTACAGACTTCAGACTTGGCTTACTTGTTATAAACAAGAACTCAACTGGTGTAATGATACAAGAAGACTGATGGGCAGGGGAAGAGATGACATTGAACAGCCTGAAAGTAAGGGCTCTCTGTCCCTGAAAGTCATCAGTGAGAATACTGGAGTTATTTCACCTCCCACATTAATCCAGGCCTTCCTAAAATTTCAAGCCACCAACAAGCACTGAGAAGGAGCATCAGAAAATTCCAACAGGATGTGTTTGGGATTGTTGGACATAATGAGATGTAGTTTGTATCTAAAATGAATTTATAATGAAATAAGGAAATAAATACTGCATATGTTTTAAGCTGTATTTAACACTGTTTATTCTATAAATGTAATGGTCTCCAGTCTGCTGGGTGGGCAGAGATGAAAGGAGGAAAGTATACTTTGAACTGCTTCTTTCCCCGAGCTTGTTTTTTTCATGACTCATCTCCAAGCCCTAATATCTGTTTATACAGGAATCCTCACATCACTTCTTAGTAGTATGTAATATCTCTTTTGCACCCCACATAAACATGAAAATGGATAGAAATCTAATCTACTCCATATAAATGTGTTTACATAAACCTGCCTGTTAGACACTGTTTAAAAGACAGAAGCTGGCATTACTTAGTGGGAACCCACTATCATCTTCATCATCTTTCTTCCCTTTAAGTGAAGTTCTCCAAGATAGTCACTTTCTCACAATGTATTTCTGCCTCTACCCTATAATTGATGATGTCTAACAGCAATACAATTAAAGACAGTTTATTGGTAACACTGATGTAACCTAACACAAGTATTTCCTTCTGCTTCTTTTCATTCATAACTGAAAAAACTCATTATTATAAATGTCACTGTAAGTGAAAGAAAGCTGTCCTGTTCCCCATGCTGTTCTTGTATTTGCATTTCTTATGCAAGCAGAAGCATGGATTCACATAGCATTAGTTTCTCATGCACATCACATGGTGCAGACGTCTCTCAGATATTTTCCAAGTTTATAGGCTTTTTAGTATCTCTCTTGCTACGTTCTAGAGCCCTCTGGTGGAAAAAAAAATATATGGTGTCAGCTTACTAACAGCTTACTAAACAGTATAAATTGAAAAGGTTTTTGCTATCATGCTAAAATCACATGCTCTGTGTGTAAGAGAGCCTTTGTTATTTTTGAATCATAAATACCATTCATTGTATTAACAGGTTATGTACTAGAATGAGGTCAGCCACTAACTTCTATGTGATCATTTATAGAGATTTGATAGAAGAGTTGACAAAGACCCTCTTCTTCACCATTTGGAAACACTGAAGATATCAGGATCAAGATATTACTTTTGCTCTTTCTCAGAATCAGAAAGAGGAAAGACCAAAATACTTTACCAAAAGAGGAAATAAGTTTTCTGTTTCTTCCTTGGATTAAGTCACTAGCCCATAGAAAGGAGAGCACTGGTTCAACAAGGTTTTTGAATAGCTTTAGCAGGTCACATGAATCTTCATTTGGCACTGAAAAGTTTGCTTCTTTGATCAAGGTGGAAATATTTCATTTAAAATAAAAAGCTGTTTTCTTCCAAAACTTCTCATTAAGGCTCTTTTGGGGGCACCGGTATATTTTGTCTCCTATATTTCCTGCCAAATCTCCAGGCTGCTGAGTGAGGCGAGAGGAACTGGCAGGCACTGAGGGCACAAGAAGGCACCCTGCTACTTGTGGCCTCACTTAAAAGTTGAAGTCCATACAGGAAAAGCCTCTTGTTAAAGGCCCATAAAAATCAATTTGGCACCACATAACTTAACTGCTGGAGCCCTCTTTCAGTTCTGAGAAGCAAACTTGTCTGTTTATAAGCAAAAGGAGAAATTATCATGAAACTGAACTCCAATTGCAGCAAGAAATACTTTGCATTTCAAATCACCTTTGCATTTGAGATAGAAACCCAACAATAATTTTAGCTTATTTCGAGAATGCATTTTATTTTCTGAGATTTTCTGCACAAATAATGATTATATAAGATTTTTTTATTATTATTGTTTTTTTTTTTTAAACCAGATTGGTTCACATTGTATTCTTTCAAAAGTGCCTTGTTTTCTAGTGGAGCTCTGGCAGATAAAATCTTTAATGTACTCACTATTACTGTAAGTCAGGACATTTTTATTAGGTTCCCTAAGAAGGGACAGTTTAACTCAACACTGAAAGTTGGTGATCATCTAAAATCTTTCCTTAGGTTATATAAACAGCTTCCATTGAATATGTACAGATACCCAGCTGCTGAATTCATCCATGCATGCTGAGATTTACCTGTATCTTCTGCCACATCTAGCCACCTAGAGTTTGAACTATGCAGCATATCTTTGGCCCTTATGTTCCAAACTTCCCTATGTATTTAAGGCACATCTGGGAAGCCAGAGATGGCTTTAAGTATTCATAGAGTAATGCTGTTTCAAGTCAACTGTGCAAGAGAAAATATCTAAGGGTAGCCCTACACCATAACTGGAGAGGTTCTGACTTCATGCAGTGAGCTCCCATGTCTGCATTTCATAGAATCATTGAATCACCAAGGTCAAAAAAGACCTCTAAATCATCCAGTCCAACCATCTATCTGTCTATCTGTGGTGCAGGAATTTGTTGAGGAATTGAAGTTCATCCATATCCATAGACAAGAAATACAGGATATAAAAGTGAAACCTTCAACAGTCTTATTTTGTTTGAAGGATGGGACAGCACCCTTGTGGATTGCATCGCAGATGGGCCATAGTGAAGTGGTGAGAGTCATGCTGCTCCGGGGAGCTGAGCGGGACGCTGCACGGGATGTGAGTAGCACTTCTGCACTTTGTCTGCAGATTCTTCTTGGCTTGTTTTAAGGCTGCAAAGCTGTCTGAAGGGAGGCTCAGTGTTCCCAGAGCTTATTCTGTTTGCCAGGTTGTAACATTCTCCCATGGGCTCTGTTTCTCCCTGTGTGTCTGGACTAAGGAAATGGCATCCTGGAATAAGGGATTGGAGATAGAATCATAGCATAGAATGGCTTAGGTGGGAAGGGACCTTGAAGATTGCCTAGTTTTAATCCTCCTGCCACAGGCAGGGTTGCCACCCACTAGATCAGGCTACTCAGGGCCTATCCAACCTGGCCTGGAATGTCTCGAGGGATGGGACATCTACAACTTCTTCTGCGCAACTTGTTTCAGTGCATCATCAACTTCTGAATAAAGAATTGCTTCCTAACATCCTAACAAAGTCAGTCCCCCTCCTACTTATTAAGCTCCCTTCAAGTACTGGAAGACTGCAACAGGGTCTCCCCAGAGCCTTCTCTGTGCTGAACAAGCCCAACTCCCTCAGCCTTTCTTCACAGGAGAGGTGCTCCAGCCCTCTGAGATGTCCATATAAATGAAAGACAGGCATGAAATATAGTATCACTGGTTTATTTCTCCTTGAAGTTTTCACCTCTTGGGGTAACAATCCTCCAGATGCCCTGAAATCAGCAGCATGTGTTGTGGAGATGCCTCCTCAAAGGCGATAAGCAGAGCAAGACCCTTTTTCCAGGATGGGGGGGACAGCTGGTGCTGCCCTCCAGACTAGAGGAAAGAGGATAAACTGTTTGTTACGACTGAACTGATCTTCTTCCCTTTTTTAAAGGATGGTACAACTGCTTTACTGAAGGCTGCCGTTAAAGGGTACAACAATGTGATAGAAGAGTTACTGAAATTTTCTCCCACTCTTGGTCTGCTGAAGGTTAGTAGTGAAACATACAGATTTTTAGACAAATACAAAAAGTCAAGGAGTCTAATGAAAGTCCTTAATGTTCCTAATTATGCAAGAGGAAGACAATAAAAACCTCAAACTCAGAAAGTCAAGAGAAAAATGGCATTAAATTGTTTAGTCACTGGGGCAACATACAAACAAATCGTTTGAAAAGATGCTGTGAATTTGATTTTTGGAATGAGGAAGCACATTGTGTTGTGGAAGGAATTATCTTAGTTTCTGTCAGCTGACAGAATCTGACAACAGATTGCTCATGATGCAGTTTTTAGCATTATACCCTGCACTTTATTGACTTTAGTCAGCAAACTAGGATCCTGAGAGATCTGTCGTGAGCAAGTCTCTTTTTGTTTTTGAATTCAAAACTTAAAAATGATAGCAGTTCTTTGGAAGCTGCATTTTAATAGCGAATGAAATTGAGTGTACTCATAAATCACACATTTTGACAGACTCTGTGGATGCATCTAATTGGCAATTTTTATATACTTGAAAATCCAGGTGGCATTAGCTTAGTTGTTAATTACAAGAATGAAATATCTTCCACACTTACTTGAGCTGTCAGTTTGCAGACATGAGCAAAAGGTCAGCTATGAAAAAAAAAAAAAGAAAATCACCATTCAGCTGTCTGCCAGTGAGAACATTAATCATCAGAGAAGAGAAATAATATGCACAGATGGTTTCCATTACTGCTTGTTCTTGTTTTTCACTTGCTAATGGCTGATACTGCCAGGCAGCAGCAAGTGCTGAGTTCATTTCACCTCTGATTCTGTTGTCAAGGGCAATTTTTAAAAGAAGATATTACTGTGATAAAAAAGACCCTGACTTTCTTCGTTAAAGCATTTAACATCATCTCTTTTGTAATTCACTAGCCTGCACCCTGTCTAAATCACAATCATACTCTTTGATGGCATAACCTTTTCCGTATTATTTGCTGTTTGTATGTTTGTTCATTGCTAACATTTTTGTTTCACTGCTCTTGTGATTTCGAATGTCTCCACTGGTGTTTTCCAGAACGGTACTTCTGCTCTCCATGCAGCTGTTCTGAGTGGCAATGTTAGGACAGTGGCATTGCTCCTGGAAGCAGGAGCAGACCCATGCCTGAGGAACAAGGTACGTCCTGGCATGCCACTCTGGGCAAGGACACACCGAGCTTTGTAGCACCTGTGCATGTCACATGTTAGCTAGGTTATATTCTTGGGACAGTAATCTGGTATTTGTTTTGATAAGCCATAACTCGTATTTGTGTCTCATATGACAGATGTGTAAGGAGGATATTTCTGTGGTAAGGAATGTGTATATGGGCTCCTTTGGTACCATTTGCTTAGGATTTAGCACATTCTCAATATTAAAAATACCTCAAAATTACACACACCTTTCCAATACATTCTTGTAAATATGTTCCTTTACTGAAATAATTTCAGGTTCTTTTTATGACAGTAACTCTTTATTTGCAGAAATTTGTCTTTTTTTATTCTGTAAAGTGTTTTAATACTGTATGTTTGGTCATTTCTATAGAAGTATCTTCCTCTGAGTTGTCTTTATGAACTATTTGCTGTTGGCATTTGATATCTGGCTGGCTTAGTTAAGCTGTGAATGAACGAACTAGTATTTACTTCTGATTTATGATTATGTCAATGAAATTTTATAACACAAATAATCCAGCATTCTGATTTGGCTATTTAACATAAAATCTGCATGTTATTTCTATATCAATCCACTTGATGGCAGCAGAGTTAATGCTGCTTGTATGGCAGTTTGTCTTGCTGTTATCTTTCAACATGCAAGATTTTTCTGCTGTTGATGGCAATTTGCAGTAGGAGAGCGTGCAGCATAAAAAAATCTGTTTGTAACTTCTTCTACCCATTTCTTTTTTTATTAGATGTAAAACAGAGTACGTTTGCAAAACAGAATCACTGATTTTCAGAAGTAGACTCATTATAAGTATTTTATACTTATATATATATAAGTATATATATACTAACATATATAGTATATATATACTAATATATATATATTTTATAAAAACACCTGTTATCAGGTGTTTTTTTTTCAATACATAAAGAAGACCAAACTCTGCTTTTATATTTATCCTAAAGAATAGGGCTGACTATTTTATAGCAATTAAAGTCTTTCCTTTGATTTTTATTTCCCAAAAACAGCTCAGCAGCAGTGTTCTCTTTAAATTTTGTGCCAGCAGCAAAGAGAACTTAAAGGATACCATTTAGTTTGGGCAGGCAGCACAAAATAAGCTGACCAGACAGATCCCAGGCTAAGATTATTCTGAAGAGTTGAGTGATACTTGCACACTGCGTGCAAAGGTTACTTCTTAAGATATTTCCAACAGTGGCGGAAACAACACTGAAATAAGCATGTAATGGTTAAGCTCAGCATCATCTTCTGACCTGAATGCTTTTAAAAAATGGTTTGGAAATAATTGCTTATTTTTTCTAACTTAGAGGTTTTTTGTTCCAGGCAAATGAATTACCAGCAGAACTAACAAAAAATGAACGTATTCTCCGACTTCTCCGCACAAAGGAAAAGCAAAGGAAAAGCTAATGCAGCAAATGTGTTTTGGCAGAGTTGAGCCCTGATGACATTAGCACGACAGTAAACCTAGATTGCCCAAGAAGGGCTTTTTGAAACAGTTTGCAGAACTGATCAGCCTCTCCAGTACATGACTGCGAACATGTGAGGCCCTTGCCAGGGAGCCACCATGCCCTTGCGCCTCCACATGGCATCTCTGAACTCAGAAGGATGATGACAAGAGCAGGGTTTGGCCTGAGAGCAGTGTTTGCATACAGCCTTGCCTATGCACCAGGGTCCCACCAGTGCTGGCACTGATGTTAGCTCCTCCACGCCTGCAGTGTGTGCATCCCCCCACACCCAAGTGCTCCCAGTGTTTCGAAGACACATTCCCACACTGGTAGGGCCACACACCTGTGATGAGTGCCTCGGGGTGCACTTGTGGGCTGGGAGCACTCAGCCCTTGTGCCAAAAGGACACACAGGTCTTGCAGCTGTTTGGAGTCAGTTGGTCCCCATGGTGCTGCTGCAATCCCTTTGCTGGCAGTGCTAGCTCTGCCAATTCCTCTGTACCACCAAGTGCCACACAAGGCTAGAGCGACATCCCATCTGTGACATCCCAACAGGAAAAGTCCTCCTGCCAGCCCAGGGCTTTGGTAACATTTTTGTTTCTACATAGAGCTTTGTAAAATGATCCAGAGCATTATGAATTACGCCAAAAGATACCGAACAAATAGTAACTAAAGTGATTTCCTCCTTGATGTAGCATCTGGACTGATTCCTCTGCCCAGCAACAGAGACGCAGTGGGACAGCATGCAGCATTTTGCAACGTGTATGCAGTACTGTGGGAAGGCATCCACAGCCCTACAGCATACATACCTGCCTTTCCATGGGCAGGAGAGGATCAGTTACTGAGCAAACCAAGTACAACACAAGTTTGGCTGTCAGACACAACAGTACAGATGCTCTACAAGTAATCTACGTATGTTCTGCATGCCCTCCCTGTATGTTACACTATGGTTTGGTATCCACAACTACTATGCAATTCACTCGTCCCAAAGTCTGTGATGGGAGTTAATGGAGAAGTTCACAGCATACAGGTGTTTTAACAGCTGGTGAGAGGGTTACATGTAGCCACACTTGAACAGGCACACTAATGAATGTGGGCCTGGAAAATGAATTCTCAACAGCAAATCTGTCCTTTTTTGTGGCTGAGATGCTTAGAATGAGACACGCTACTTGGTGCCTGTGTGCAGAAAGCAGAGCAAATTATTAAGGTGTTGTAAAGAGCTATTATAACCATATTACTATAACTTGATACATTAAAACCTGGTCATTTCTGCAGTATACAAACATACTAAGTCTTGTTAGCAACAAACACATTAGAGATTATTTTGCAGTGAGTTGATGTATAATGTTAATCCAGAATATAAGTCCAGACATTTCACTTGTCTTCAGACTCTGACAAATTCTTGAAAAATTGCTTAAGGTGTTGAAGACAGAGAAAATTGTAAGGAAACACAAAGTATGCTCTGCTTTAAAAATGGATTTAGCTAGGATTTAGCTCAATTTTTGCACTTTTGCTTCAGTGTCTGGAGGAAAAAAAAAAAAAATAGTGAGTTTGCACAAAGAAATGTAGTTTATGGTAGAGAAAATTAGCCATATGTATTACCAAATCATAACGTTATTCTTTTTGTGAGTAAGTGAGGTAAGAAGTCAGGGTTGGATAAAGAGAGCTGCTTGGCAGCTGAAATTTCTCTTAATTTTCTATTCAGCATTAGAAAGGAAAGCTTTAAGTTTTCCAACAGTGTAAGGCACCATCAGAAAAAATCTAATTACTTAGCAAACACATGCTGCTGTATTTTTCGAATTAAAATAATGTTGTGCCTCACTGAAACTTTGCAGATGAACTGGTACAGAACCAAAGAATTATGCAAGACATGTGGAGGATGATTGTATCCAGGTTTCAATCCTCTGAAAGTCTGAAAAAAAATTGAGCAGGTAGAAATCTTGAGAGTCTTATTGGGAAAGTTTGTTGCACAGCATTTTATAGGGCTGGACTCTAACTTCTTTTACAAGTTCATTTGGAGGCCTCAGTGGGCTGAAGGTGAACATACTTTCTGGAGAAAGCTGCAGGGACACCAGGCAGCCTTGCCACAACACTGATATTTCTCCCTAAAGTTTCTTCATATAAACAGCTGGGAAAAAACACATTCTTAAGATGAAAAGCCCTGTCATAGTTGTGAAAGGGAAGGATAATCACTGGAGGGTCTTCAGTAGCCAGTCATTCTGGGTGAGCAATGAATATTATCAGACGGGCTGCAGGTCCTCTCCTTTCTTCCAGGCATATTTTCTTGTTCAAGTAGTCTCACCCTAAAAGGGTCAGCTACTCAGCAAAAGAGCTACTTGAGCTATGCCTGCCCGTGAGAAAATGCTCCCCACCATTCACAGCAGGACTTTCCAGGTTCTGTTTTCTGCTGCCTCCATGACTGGCTACCACAGCCTACGTTCTAATGCAGCAGGTGAAGAATATCTGGGATGACACATCCCATATGGAGTATCTGATGGCCTTCTGAGGGGATGCACTTACTAGATCTTCTTTTCTGAGCAACGTTGGGCTGTATCAGGCTTTTCTTGTTTCTAAAGAATATTTAAAATGTGGTTCTGCCACAGTTTGAAGGGAGAGTCTCATAGCTCCCTCTAGGCTCCCCTTAATGCTGAGTGGTAAGGTCCACAGGCTGTACAACAGTGGTAGAGAAGTGTCAGGAAAACCTTTCTCTGCCATGTTCAGGCTGAAGTTGAACCTGGCTTCAGCCAAGAACTTCTTCATCCAGCTTGGAGTTTTTAGGCATGAAGGCCTTCTGGTGTTTGCTTCATCTTGGAACTTTTGAAGAGAGGGCTGGATTTGGCTTTGAGTTCCCTGTAACCAAAAGGTGCTTATTTTGGCTGTAGATGAGCTTGGAAGTTGCAGTACTGTTTACCATCACGCAGTTAACCTTTTCACAAAGAAACCTTAATAATTCTTAGTGTTTATGTAACCACTGTTATCTTTAAAGTGCTCAGTAAATACTGCTGTGGTTTGTTTGTTGTTCTAAAATGGAAACCTGCATTCCTTTTCTGGCTGAAGTGATTTATTGATATCAACAGTAGCTCTTTACGTTGCTGTAGTGCCTTTTGTGTGAGGGATTCAAAGTGCTCTACAGACACAATCATCTTTGGAAGTTCCAAATTGCATTTCTGGGGTAGGCAGGGAAATAGATGAGTTCATTCACATGCCAAACAAATGCAGCAGCTGCTCACCTGTTCACATTAATAGGCAAGAATAAACTTAGACTAGAAATTAAGGGGCACCAAATCCACATCATAGATGACAGGAAGAAGGTAGGTACTGGATAAGGACATGAAGTAGAAACAGGACAGGACAACAAGCCAAAATGCTTTCATTTTCCAAGCAGTGCCATAAATACATGTATCTCACAGAAAACAACAGTGCCAGTAGCACAATTCTTTAGGCTTGCTTCTCTGCACACTGAGATCTAGTGGCCTAACCTGCTGCCCTCTCTATCTGGGATTTGTACAGGTATTATGGGCTGCTGACTTCCTATCAGCTGCAAGTGAATACAAAGGATGTGCAAGAACAAGCTCCACATGAGCCAAGGAAAAGTATAAAGCTTTGTGCCTGTGTTTCAGACATCTAGCCATTGTAGGATGGAGATGAGCACAAGGAAAGACCTGGGTACAAAGGGAACTGGCATCCCATCAGAGACGTGGTAGTGGTATGGCCTCCATGATCACAGATATATGGAACCCTTTATTTAGGATGATATCTGCTGTGCAATGTACAGGGATGGGTACTTGGGTTACAAAAGGTAATGTTGTACCTCCTGACCTAATGCCACTTCTTGCACATGTCATTCTTTCCCTGGAGCAAAATTGCCTTGCTATTGATCCACCCACCTTTGTTTAGATTAGAAGAGCTGAGAAGATCAGAGCACCAGATGAAATAGCCGCAGGTCAGACTTAATGCACTTTAACAATCATTGTTTGTCTCAGAATCTATTTGCAGGAATAATTCACACTTTATTCAGCCAGTTATAGCGACTACTGGGAAATCAGTAAGTAAATCAAATTTCATGTTGTCTTGGAAGTTTCAGAATTGTTGTATGTAAAATGAGGTAGCACAAAAACTGTCCCATTTGTCCTTCACTTAATGCAAACTCTGAACAGACACAAAATACTATTGTTGTTTGGAACCTCTGTCATTACCCCATACTCCATGAGTCAGTGATGTTAAAATGCTGATGTGTGCTAACAATCCAACCAAAGATCATACACATGGATCTTTTTTCCAGCACTGGAGTAACATACTGCACATATGTGACTAAATAGACTTGTGCCTTCTCATAGCAGCTCTGCATGCAGTCCTTTCAAATGTCATCTTAGTTTCATACTTGTCTGAATTCCAGTTTTTTTTACCTGCCTTTCTACACATTCAATAAAAACTACATAAATATAACACAGCATAAGCCTGATGATACTCTACAACAAGAATGTTGCTTTGCTAAAACATATTTTTCCATACCATTGTTTCAATAAAAATGAATATATTATTCAGCTTATCACACTTGTCTGTGCACTACAATGTTTCTCTGTCACCTGTTATTTCAATATTTTTCTGTATTCTGTTATTTCTATTTGTAGAATACCAGAATTAATTTTCTATTCATGTTAAGATCACTTTGTTCTATTCCACTTGGTCCATTTGACTTCTATTTATTTTCCAGGTCTTTTCGGGTGAGATAGCATTAACAAAACAAATAAAGCCAATGCTCTGGCTTGAAAAACAGGAAAATTTAATTTAGCGTGACAAAATAAGGTTTGTTTCAGAGATCCAGACATCGCCGACAGACTTCCCTTGACATTAATATCCATTAGGTCAGACCTGAAGGGAAGATTTCAAAAAAGCAACTTAAGAAACAAAGGAGTAAGACTATATCTTTATTCAGTTAGTCAAATAAGTCTTTGTGGTTCATTTACTATTCCTAAATGTAATGCTGACTCTTATGCTGGTCCAATCTCCTTCAGTTAAAAGTCTACATCCTGCTGATATACTTATTATAGTAAGCTGCGGATTATGCTTATTGTAAAAGAGGAAAATCCACACTACAAACTCTGTTTCTGACATCCCAGGTCTTTTGCCTCATTTGTACAATTTTGTGTTTTGATGAGCTATATTTTGATTTAATGTCAAAAATCCCTACAGTCACACTTCAAGAAAGCATCTCCATCTATTCAGAGAACATCAGAGGAAAGGGTTGTGACTTGTTCACAAGCAGCATCTAAAGGCTGAATCCCCAAATGTAATTTCCCAAACCATAAGTTTATTTGTGAATGAAGAGGAAAAAATATCTGATGGCTTGCTACTTATATACTGAAGCAGTATCTTTCAAAACATGCTAGCTAAATGGCCAGTGAGGGTAGGACAAGGGGGATGGTTTTAAACCGAGACAGGGAGGTTTAGGTTAGATATTAGGAGGAAGTTTTTCACACAATGGGTGGTGACACACTGGAACAGGTTGCCCAAGGAGGTTGTGGATGCCCCATCCCTGAAGACATTCAAGGCCAGGCTGGATGTGGCTCTGGGCAGCCTGGTCTGCTGGTTGGCGACCCTGCACACAGCAGGGGGTTGAAAGTAGATGATCATTGTGGTCCTTTTCAACCCAGGCCATTCTATGATTCTATGATTCTATGAATGAAATAATGCAATATCCAAGAAGTAATATTATGTGATAATAATAGCCTCCTTGACCTTAAAATACATGTGTCAATAAATGTTTTGCTTTATCTTCTTGGTGATTTAAAGAGACGCTAACTCTTAGGAGAGGCCACATGCCTAGCAACTCTGTCTGTCCAGCGAAAGAGACTCAGACACGTATCCAAGCTGTTGCTAACTAAACGATTTTGCTGTGACTGTGTTGACAAGACATTCTCACTGGCCTAATGCTTTAATGTCCTGCTTTTAATGTTTGAGGCCGTTCACATAGAGGTGGTCCAAACTCTACATAGTGCTGCGCTTTGTCAGTGAGCAGGGAACAACACAGCAGCCTATGCTGTGCCAGCTGGGAAACCAGCTACGTCAGAATAGATTTTTGCTATGGCAAATGTTTCACTGACTCAGATACACAGAGCATGACACTAATATACAACACAGGCCAGAAAATGTCTGTAGTTTTATATGTACTGCACATTTTTATTCTTGTAGGGTACATAGATACATATATGTATGCGTACTTGGTGTCCAGTGTATGTGTATAAATTTCTATAATCACTTTGGAAATGTGATACACAAGTCTCATCTTCTGAATGGCTGGACTATATGGCACTGAGAAGCATAAGAACAACTCCATTTTCTGAGGACTCCAAGAACAGTCTCTGAAGGTCCTTCCTTACCCATGATTCTCCACCAAATCCTACTGAGACAAACTTCTAAAATTTACAAAGTATCTCCAAGCCCAAAGATAAACAGGCTGATCTTCAAGTGCACGTGGATCTTGAACCAGACTCCTGTTCCTTCTCCCCAGTTGGATTTGGCAGTGTCCACAGGAACTTCCTGTGATAGTTCTGCTTATATTCTCCATTTTGACATCAACTCCTGAGTTAAACATCAAACGGCAGCATGATGCTCACAGGGACAGTAACCTGATATTAATGCAAACCCGGGGCCTTAAACAGCCATTTTATTACCATAGGGTAAACTTCTGAATTTGTTAGTATATTAGTGTTTATGGTATCTAGCATGGGTACACACTTTAGGTATTTGCTTATAGCAACATGTCAGTTATCTCCAAACTGCTGCAATAATAAGATGCCTTTCCACAACGTTTTCCTTCAACAGCTCCCTGATCCATACTTGTTTTTTAATATCTTGGACCCCATTTTTCCCTGCAATTGGCACCGTGTTAAAGAAGAGCAAATTGTACTGGAGGGATTAGGACCCATTCAGATAATTGAGCAAGTCTGCCATAAACTTGGGTCAAGCTTCGAATCTTTTGAATTCAATTCCCAAGCTTATGCAACTAGATAATAAATATCTCCACCCAGAATGTAGTCATGTCAAAAATAAATGCAGAAAATATGCGACTATAGGACTTACTAAGTTTAGACAGGGATACAGTGAAACAGGTTGGTGGAGAAGCCGTACAAATACACCAGGGCAGATACAAAGATGAAAAGATAAAAGGACTTGATTCAGCACCACCTGACACACTACACATATATTTAACACTACTGGCAGCTTCAGTCTGTTAACTCCTTTGGTATGATTTGATCCCATGTGGAGAGTCTGAAGCCAAGAGCATCTGACCAAATTAATAGCTACACTGAGGTGAGTGTAATTAAAAGTCAAACAGGTCTCCACAGGTAGGGAAGGCTAACAAATGAAAAAAAAAATTTGCTTACAATGCTAAGTAGGAAACATCAGCTTTGTTTAGTACAAGTATTACTCTGATTTAGCTAGAGAAATATTCTTGGAACATGCAGTGGTTTTGACTGGCTCTACCAAAATGTGGAGGTGTGAGAAACTGAAGCAAACCTGCAAACACACCTGCTGTAGCTTGTCTCCACTTAGGTTGCGAGATTTCCAAGCAGAATATCCTGCCTTCCTATGTGCTTGTGGAGTGTGTTGCTTAATGCAGCTCCCACTCCTTGCAATGGCCTGTGGGTGCTATCGCAACAGAAATAATAAAGGCTTGTAATAAATGATGGGGGAAAAAAAGCAGCCATGGACATTTTAATTGACTTTGCTGCAAAGCGATCGCGTAATTTTTCCATTTGGACGTGCGAGTAATTCTTCAGACAGGTTGCAATCTGGAAATTGCATGGTCATTACCACTAGATGACACAAGTCTCATTTCTGCACAGAATAAAGCAATGAAAACACTTCTGAATGCAAAGCTCAGGGATTTCTGTCAAAGTAGAACAAGCAAAACAGGTACTTATTTTACGCTAGCTTCCAGGCAGACACCTCTGCACCGAAATGATATTCAGTGAAGGAAAGTGTTTATCTGATCCTAGTGGATGATTGAATCATAGTCATTAAGGTAGGAAAAGACCACTAAGACCATCTAGTCCACTGTCAGGACTAGTTTGGTGTAGCGCGGCACCAAATGTCATCCTACACTATGAATTAACATTAGCACCTTCTTACAGGCAGGAAAACTTAATTTTGTGTATACCGATTGAGAATCAAAATGACTATCCCTTTCCTTCCAAGGAGACAATCCTTGAAAGCTATGTATAATCTTGGGCTTAAAAGGAACTTTAAAAAATGTAACTTGACAGATGTCCTTAAGCAAGAACAGCTGGCAGTGGAGACAGGCACTTCTGTGCCACAGGAAAGGCAATGAAGCTGCTGGCAGCATTGATCTGAGTTAATTCTTTGGGGCTACTTTTTTTCCTAACGTTCAGCTAACTTAAAGATGAAGCAGTCAAAGGTGCTGACTTCATAACCAACAACACTCACAACACTAAGACACCAGGGAGCAGCTACAGTTAGCTTTGTATCCTCATCCTCAGAGAGCTGCAACCAAGAACAAGGGCTGCAGTAGGACTGAAAGAATACCCAGCCCTGTTCTGTGGGCTGGTAGTAGGCAGAGGCAACATAAACACAGATAAATGCTCAGGTTTCCACATCTGCCAAGCAAAAAGATATTTCAAAACTCACTCTGACCAAGATAGGCTTAGTCTGATCAGCGTTTGTTAATAAGTCTTTGCTTACAATCCACTTCGCTTTCTTTTGGGAGTGTAGAAAATCTGGAGGCATTATGTGAAGGGATTGCACTGGAATAACAACATGAATGTGCACAGCCTTCTAAATATAGATATCAAGCCAGGATTCAGAGAAAGGTTAAAGTATTACCACCTCTCTGTACTATAGGTGGTAGACAAGGATGATGTTATGGACTTAATTAGCTCATGGTGGAAATTGCCACAGAATTTTGCAGAAAAAACATGGTGGTTGGACTGGACAACATGCTGAACATGACTCAACAGTACAGAAAGCCAACCGCTTTGTACCAGGAAGGGCGTAGCCAGTAGGTCAAGTGTTGTTATTCCTCACTGACTTGTAGGGCCACACCTGAATTCCTGTGACCAGTTTTGAGCTCCCATAATAAAAAAGACAAAGATGATCTAGGACAAGTCCAGCTTAGTGCCAGCATGACGGCTGAGGTAACTGATTTTTCAACCTGGCTCAGGGGACACGTTACTGCTCTCCATGACCACATAATGGGAAGATGCAGGGAAGCTGAGTCACGCTCTCCTGACAGGCAGAGTGGTATCACAGACTCAAGCTGGAACATGGGTAAATCTCCTTAGCTGCAGGACAGAACATTTTACTATCTGTGTAGTCACAAGGTGGAACAGTTTGCTCAGAGAGGCTGTGAATTCTCTGTCTCTGAAACAATTAAAATACAAGTGGAAAATTCCCTGTGCAACCTGACCTAAATGTGTTCTGCTTTCAACAGAAAGTTGAATTACAGTGACCCTCCCGAGGTCCCTGCCAACATTAATTAGCCCTTGAATATACGATACCAAGGACAACCTGCATTTTTGTCAGCAG